ATAAATACATATAACATCACTGTCAAAAAAAAAAAAAACGAAAAGACGAATAAATACATATAACATCAGTGTCAAAGACAGAAAACAAAAAGACGAAAAAATACATGTAACATCACTGTCAAAGACAGAAAAAAAAACGAAAAGACGAATAAATACATATAACATCAGTGTCAAAGACAAAAAACGGAAAGACGAATAAATAAATATAACATCAGTGTCAAAGACAAAAAACGAAAAGACGAATAAAAACATATAACATCACTGTCAAAGACAAAAAACGAAAAGACGAATAAAAACATATAACATCAGTGTCAAAGACAAAAAACGAAAAGACGAATAAATAAATATAACATCACTGTCAAACACAAAAAACGAAAAGACGAATAAAAACATGTAACATCACTATCAAAGACAAAAAACGAAAAGACGAATAAATAAATATAACATCACTGTCAAAGACTAAAAACGAAAAGACGAATAAAAACATGTAACATCACTATCAAAGACAAAAAACGAAAAGACGAATAAATAAATATAACATCACTGTCAAAGACAAAAAACGAAAAGACGAATAAAAACATGTAACATCACTGTCAAAGACAAAAAACGAAAAGACGAATAAATAAATTATAACATCACTGTCAAAGACAAAAAACGAAAAGACGAATAAAAACATGTAACATCACTATCAAAGACAAAAAACGGAAAGACGAATAAATACATATAACATCACTGTCAAAGACTAAAAACGAAAAGACGAATAAAAACATGTAACATCACTGTCAAAGACAAAAAACGGAAAGACGAATAAATACATATAACATCACTGTCGAAGACTAAAACCGAAAAGACGAATAAAAACATGTAACATCACTGTCAAAGAAAAAACGGAAAGACGAATAAATGCATATAACATCACTGTCAAAGACTAAAAACGAAAAGACGAATAAAAACATGTAACATCACTATCAAAGACAAAAAACGAAAAGACGAATAAATAAATATAACATCACTGTCAAAGACTAAAAACGAAAAGACGAATAAAAACATGTAACATCACTATCAAAGACAAAAAACGAAAAGACGAATAAATAAATATAACATCACTGTCAAAGACAAAAAACGAAAAGACGAATAAAAACATGTAACATCACTGTCAAAGAAAAAAACGGAAAGACGAATAAAAACATGTAACATCACTGTCAAAGACAAAAAACGAAAAGACGAATAAATAAATTATAACATCACTGTCAAAGACAAAAAACGAAAAGACGAATAAAAACATGTAACATCACTATCAAGGACAAAAAACGGAAAGACGAATAAATACATATAACATCACTGTCGAAGACTAAAACCGAAAAGACGAATAAAAACATGTAACATCACTGTCAAAGAAAAAACGGAAAGACGAATAAATGCATATAACATCACTGTCAAAGACTAAAAACGAAAAGACGAATAAAAACATGTAACATCACTATCAAAGACAAAAAACGAAAAGACGAATAAATAAATATAACATCACTGTCAAAGACTAAAAACGAAAAGACGAATAAAAACATGTAACATCACTATCAAAGACAAAAAACGAAAAGACGAATAAATAAATATAACATCACTGTCAAAGACAAAAAACGAAAAGACGAATAAAAACATGTAACATCACTGTCAAAGACAAAAAACGAAAAGACGAATAAATAAATTATAACATCACTGTCAAAGACAAAAAACGAAAAGACGAATAAAAACATGTAACATCACTGTCAAAGACAAAAAACGAAAAGACGAATAAATACATATAACATCACTGTCAAAGACTAAAAACGAAAAGACGAATAAAAACATGTAACATCACTGTCAAAGACAAAAAACGGAAAGACGAATAAATACATATAACATCACTGTCGAAGACTAAAACCGAAAAGACGAATAAAAACATGTAACATCACTGTCAAAGAAAAAAACGGAAAGACGAATAAATGCATATAACATCACTGTCAAAGACTAAAAACGAAAAGACGAATAAAAACATGTAACATCACTGTCAAAGACAAAAAACGAAAAGACGAATAAATAAATATAACATCACTGTCAAAGACAAAAAACGAAAAGACGAATAAAAACATGTAGCATCACTGTCAAAGACAAAAAACGGAAAGACGAATAAATGCATATAACATCACTGTCAAAGACTAAAAACGAAAAGACGAATAAAAACATGTAACATCACTATCAAAGACAAAAAACGAAAAGACGAATAAATAAATATAACATCACTGTCAAAGACTAAAATACCCCCAAGGGTGACTGGGGAATAGAAGTATGGTCACCATTGGTCTTCCTCCGACCGGCAGTAAAACCCGTGCTAAAGTGGGGCGTCCGTTTGGCTGTGCGGGATGTACAAATTTGCAGCCACGTCCGGTCAGAATGGGGACGTTAAATCCGATGCCTCGTGTAAAGAGAGTGCCACGCTCTTTGCACGTTAAGAACCCTTGCAACAACTCTTTGAGGGGTCCGTAGGTGACCTGTTGGAAGGCTAAATTTCTGTCCCTATCCAATATACCCTCATTTCCCGTGGCAGTCTAAATTTCTCCGACCTTAACCCCTTAATCTATTACAGAACCTACATATTGTATTTATTGTGAACTTGTTCTCGTCCTGAATATGCATGAAATATTTGCCACTGGACGTTAAGCAACCAATAATCAATCAATCAATCAAAGACTAAAAACGAAAAGACCAATAAAAACATGTAACATCACTGTCAAAGACAAAAAACGGAAAGACGAATAAATACATATAACATCACTGTCAAAGACTAAAAACGAAAAGACGAATAAAAACATGTAACATCACTGTCAAAGACAAAAAAACGGAAAGACGAATAAATAAATATAACATCACTGTCAAAGACAAAAAACGAAAGGACGAATAAAAACATGTAACATCACTGTCAAAGACAAAAAACGGAAAGACGAATAAATACATATAACATCAGTGTCAAAGACAAAAAACGAAAAGACGAATAAATACATATAACATCAGTGTCAAAGACAAAAAACGAAAAGACGAATAAATACATATAACATCACTGTCAGAGACAAAAAACGAAAAGACAAACAACAGTATATAAATCACTACAAAGAAAAGTGAAGATTGCGCAACAGGAACCCCAGCAAAAACCAGTGATGAACTCATGTACTCCGGAAGGGTCAATAGTTTCTGCTTCGCTGGGTGTGTAGTTTGTTTCTTTTTTTAATTTTCGCATACCATGATTCAAAAAGATAACATGTATCGCAAGACTATATATTTTTTTTATGTTTTCGTTATACTTTCACATACTACCTTTTTGTCAGTAAGCCAAAATTTCCAGGTAAAAGGTCACCGTTCAGTTGAAAATAACATAAGCATATCTAGAACGAAAACATATTTATGTCTTATGAATATACTCTTCTTAATACAAAACCGTTAAGCCGAAATTGAATACCCACATAATAAGATATAAGGAAAATAGTAGTATTACATTTGTCCAGGCTTTAGGTTAACCTTCTGTGTACCCAAGGTAGGTGAAGAAAGTCAAATTTGGAGGGCTGTGATTGGATGTAAGGGTATAAAGTTTTAAAAATCTATTTATGAATAACTGCAATGCGTATATTTACAATATAAATCTTGAAACACATTGAAATATTTTCTTTGAGAATTATTTGAAGACTTCAAAAATTTTCATACATTGGATGTAAAAAGACGGTGGCCATTGATACCATAAATAAGCTCAGTTCGAGGATGGTCATTATACCATTTGACTTGAATTTCTAAAACAGAAAAATTAAGTTCTAATACCACACGTTACTTTTTTGTCCAGGTTTTTATGATAAAAAGTGTTGTTTAGAAAATGTTAGTATTGTCGCCTATAGAAGAATGAATACTACCGTTTTCTTTATAGTATCTTACTGGACACATTTGCCGAAATCAAATCGGCTAGCTCTTACTCTTACTCCTTTATGTTAGATTTTGCCCATTTTGCCCTGCTCTTGCTTGGTTTCTAAGCGAAAAAACCCCTATACCTGAGGCGGGGGGACACTACCACGAAATCACGGACACACACATAACTGCAAACAAATACTGAACACTCAAACTTTTACTTGCCACTCCACTGGGTTCGTATACACTATATATTGCAATGTAACTTGCAAAACCCAGAATATTGTATACCTTCTTCAGTGTCGATGTGGCATGTAGTATGTTGGCGAGACAGAACAGCCATTCAACAAACGCATAAATGGTCATCGAAGTGACTACACTTGCAAGCCCGACCTCCCCGTAAGTCGTCATTTGAGATCACATGGGGACGCTCAAGCTAATCTCAAAAACCTTACCATCACTATCATGAACCACAACGAGGGTTGGTCAATGGCCGACAGACTTGCTCGGGAAAGTTTTTGGATAAGGAAGTTAAGAACAGTTTCCCCAGAGGGCATTAATGAAAAAACATAGAATGAGTCCCTACCATCACTTGTTTCCAGTAACTCAAGCTTCAGTACATGTACAGGACTCTCACAGTTTTAATGAATTTATTCCTCCTTCCAAACATCAATATTGAAAACATTTACCAGCGTATTAATTCGTGATGATTTGTATGACGATCAAGACTACTATTGCGGTGTGACTACCACATTTCAAGATAAGAACCATTTGAAATCTTACTGATGAAGGATATAAGTTATCCGAAATATTTAACTTTTGTTCATGATTTTATTTTCTTTTTGGTGATGTTGTACCCTTTTAGACTTGCTTATTATATATTATATTTTGTAGTGTACTGTATCATAATTATATGATCCATTGCCCAGTAGGATTTATCGTTGGCTATAATTCAGACATTTTATAAACATATATATATATATATTATATTCGGCCAATGTGAAAGAGATTGGAAACAACCATCTTGAATTAAGTGAAATAAGAATGAATTTGATTATACAATTACTTTTCAGTACCTATTCCATTGTAAGAAAATCTGCCATGTCTTATTTTGAATCCATGGTACTTTTTTAGGTATGACCCCATTCCAGGATGACGGTAATATCCCGGGTCAACTACTCCTCTATGATGTATTACTACATGATTGTGTACTGGGTAACTGTTGTAAACATCTGGCCCTATTTGAAAAAATATATTTAATACATACGTAGCTGATAACAACTTCAAAGAGATGATCATTCTTAAAATGGAGCTTTAATTGCTGATGAAATTGTATTTAAACTTTAATTTTATTTATTAAATTTGATTGGTTTGATACATATTTCAGTGCACGCGACACATGTGTCTTGCTTAACCTTCGAACTGTAACTGTAGGTTAAACATGACACAGGTACAATTCTGTATTCAGAAAAGTCTTAAAGAATTTGTATCACTCCGTGTACATATAGTGTATTTATAAATAATACATTTTCAATTTTAATTAATTGTTTATAAGTAGGCAATACTTCGGTACTTCGGTACTGACAGGAAACTTTCTCAGATTTTCTGTTAATAAATTTAGGAATGATTAAGACGGTAAGGTTTTGACTCCTTCAGACAAAGTTGACCTAAGATGGATTAGGCTATTATTTTATGTTCTTTTTGGACATATAGCTCTTTAACTGTTTCAGTTCTAATACATTCTTGACTTTCAAATATTCGGCTTTGGGCAACCAGATGAAGATAAACCCAGAAACGTGCTTTAGACGCACGAAATTCACAAAGTGTTGTTTTCATTTTTAAAAAATAGATATCTATATAAAGCAACGCCAGAATTTCTAAATATTTTTTTCAAAACACATCTGTAATTTTGATTATCGATATTCTTCTGAAAAGGTACTATACTTGAAGATTTATCTTGAGATAAGGATCTTAATTCAGATTTCACATATATTTGCCTTTGATGTATTGCGAGTTATTACAGAAAGTTGACGAGGCAATCTTAATCTGTTCAGACTTAACACTGACTTGTTCCTTTACAGCTAAAAGCAAGACACAATTTGTAAAATCACGAAATAAAAGACTGTAAGCCAAAATAAATTTATGATATTGTTTTATCTATTTGAGCAGTAAGTGTTCTACAATCGAAGCCAATTATTCGCATTTAAAGCATGTAAATTCTTGTTTACATGCAAGAACAATTTAACAATTTAAATGCTAAATACAACAGTATGCTAAGTTAATTGATCCATAATATACCCATCCATAACAACTTAATTTGTTGAAGTTTAGACCAACCGTTTAACAATTTAACTCATTTTGATTCAATTTGTATAATACAGTGAATTCTTTTTCCTGATATTTATTTGTTAAAAATTAGCGATTGGTAGGTGAGTTAATTTAAATTCAACATCTAAATTAAATAACGTCATCTTTCTAAGTCAGCAAATTTCAGGCATACGGTTGTAATTATTCCTAAACATTTGCACTGTTTTAATCAACACTTCATTGTGAGTATTAATGTTTGGATATGTATGTCCCTGAGTCAACGTACATTTTTACTATACTTTGCAAGTGTCTGATAAACTGGTGTTTAAAAAAATCTGTATAAACTTTCATTTGATCCAAAATTACAATGGATTTTTCAATCGCTGTTGCTGAGCATAAAAGTAAATGCTTAATATAATTGCATTGCAGTGGTATGATATTTAGCTATATCTTGGTATACAAGAAAGGTATGGATAATTTTATTATGGTTTTCGGTAAGCGTGAATTCGTACTTTTGATACCATAAGATATCATGATATTAACTAAATTATTGTAAGCCTTGTAAATGTAAACCAACAAACTTTTATACTTACTTGCAATCTTTGGAGGGTAACCACCATATGAGTTATACCCGGATGTAACAACTGTAGCAAAAATAAATTTGTATAGTTAAGCATGCTACATTTTCGTTATTTATAAAAAAAAAATCAAACAGTCAAAATATGCGACAAAAATAAGTGTTCACAAGACACGTTGCATTGAATTTCAAACTTTAAGATCAATAATAACCTTTCAAATTAAAATTTACTGTCACATGAGATGGATAGATACTGTAGGCATATCAGTTAGAAATATACATTTCTGAAATACGAATGTAAATTGGTCTGTTAAGTTATTAAGTTGATTTACTACACAAATGTTATAAACATATTGACTTGAAATAGGGCAGCAATCAAGATTTGAATAAAATAGTTTACTGCATAGAAGTTGTATCTGTAACATAATAAAGGTAACTCTTCGTAATAAGAAAAACATTTGATTTTCAGGAATTTTACATTTTTTGTGGACGGAAAATTCATTTCTGACTTTATAAATTTCTACGACGAAGTTACATGTGGAAATCATAACATGCCCGCAAAACAAAACAGCGGTTATTAAGATAGCACAGTCAGAATAGTTTGACACACGCATGCGTCAATGAAATTAGTTGTGAAAACGGAGCCTGTGTAAAATGCAAAGGGAGTTATTGTTCTAAACTGACTATCATGCATTTCTTTTTTGTATAACTATCATTCAATTATCTCCATAAAAAGCTTCACATATATATGAGTTGCAGCGGATGTTTTATAATATATTATAATAATGAAACATTACCTGCAGTGACGACCACTAGGAGCAGAACACATATCCATTGAGCCATGCTGCTTGATATGTAAATAGACTTTGCGGTTTTACTTATAAAGTAAAGGTAAATAGCCACATGTTACCATGAAGTACCAGTAAGTAAGTGTTTACAGTTTTGCTGTTTTCACCTACACAATACATAACATGTAATTAATAACTTATGATTTTCTATCATGCACTTATGCACTCTTTTTCTTTCACTTCATTTACTTTTCAAAATGGTTGATTATTCAATTCATTGTATACTCTGCGTTTCATGGTTAAACATAAGTCAGAAACATTGATGACCATTGTTGAGATTTCCGGGAGCACCGTGGACGTAAAAACAATCTTTAGAATATTAACCCTGGTTAAATAAAGAATGAATCATAGTCAAGTTTTTAAGTATGAATACGCAAGTATGTGTCTGAAGGTTATAGTCCATCCAACGGTAATGAGCAACGATAAACTGTGTTCATTAAAGAAATGGGCAGATATCTCAATTATCGCGAAACCATAGAACGTGTCTGACCTGTAAAACCATTGAAGATGAACCCCAATTTCTACTATACTGTCGAAACAATTAAAACATACGTAACTTATTTTTTAATGAGATTGTTAAAGATGATCAAAAAGATGTAGTTCAAAACATCTTTCTGATACTGAAAAAAAACTAGTGGTCCTGCAATAGATGTAAACCAATTTGTTAAAAACTATGGAAATTTCACTTTTGAAACTTGATTTATTATATACATGTAATTTGTTGAATACTAATTGTTGTCAGTAGCTGGAAGAAGTTATTATGATATACTTCTAGACGATCTAATTATAGAACGCAAGAATATGTGAGTAATATACATTGAACATACTTTTTTCAAAGTCAAACATATTTTCATTTTGAAATGATATATGAATTGACAACTTCAATTTAAATTGACCCTGAAAGGAGTTGGCTATTATTTTAAGGTCTTTTTTATCATAAAGCTCTTTTATTGTTTCGGTATTTACACATCATTTTTATAATGTAGATTAGCATGACCAGTGGCTTCTTAAAAAGTTATTGTTTATTGTTCTTTGCATAGTTTCTTGCATATAATATTGTAAATACGTAAATGTTTATTGGATAATGTTTTGTAATTTAAATTTCAAAAGAAATTTGATGAGAAACGTTGGTTTGTTATTGAATGTGCCTCTTAGCCTACCAAGATAGGAGTAAGCTTCCCGAGATCGTTGGCTTTATAAAATTCTACTTTGAACGTATGAATGTAAATCCAGAAAAGCGCCTCGGACAAATGAAATTTATAAAGTGTTATTTTCATTTTTTAAGTGACTCTTGTAGTTAAATAATTCCCAATTCCCAAAAAGAATTCTTGTTATATCGTATAATATAAGCTAAATGAGGATTTTAAATTTAATGTATGCCTTTTTGTGCTTCTTCGTTACATTTGTTTGTTTTTATAGTGATTAAGATGATAACACAATGTTGACTGCTGTACTTCTATTTTTGACATTTTTACCTATTGTGTCTGTTTGTTTTGTTCACGCATCGTTGTCAATATAATGGAATTTGATGCGACTGTCATACAAGTGAGAGGTTTAGCTAGCTATAAAACCAGGTTCAATCCACCATTTTCTACATTAGAAAATGCCTGTACCAAGTCAGGAATATGACAGTTGTTATCCATTCGTTTGCTGTGTTTGTTTTGTTTTATTTTGCCATTTGATTAGGGACTTTCCTTTTTGAATTATCCTCGGAGTTCAGTATTATTGTGATTTTACTTTTTCCCAAATTAATGCGACAATGTTTTACAGATGTTCAAATCTCGTAAATCGATTAAAGAGAGACAAATCAAGGTAACAAACACAAACTGAGGGAATCGCATGGACTCCAAAAGAAGCAAGACATAAGACACTTTTAACTCTATAAAACTAAAGAAAACTAGTCCTAACGAATCGAACAATAGTCCAATTATGCATTATTTTTTTTAAATACCTCCAAAATGGTGATTGTTGTAGAACTTTTCTACTATATCAACGGCAATATTGAAATCAGTTAGTTGCATTTGCAAGCTATAAATCGTTCGTTGCATTTTGTCATCAATAAAATAGCTATAATTTTGTTTCTCTTGTTATAGAATGTTTTAAAGTTGTGAAGAAATTAAATTTCATTGAATTATCGAATGAATATTTGTTTTAAACAAAAATCCAGATATATTTTTTTAATGTTAGCACACTATTAAACAGTTGTTTTTTATTATGTAAAGCCATAATTGCAGATTAATATATTTAAAAATTGAATGTGCAGCCACTAGTTAATAAATTTTAGTCTGAAAGGTCATTCTTCTGCAAAGTCTAAACAATATATTAGTAAGCTATATTCAGTCTATCAGATAACTTTCAGACGTATCCACTGCAGTCAATTCAGTGCTATTCAGTAGTTTTTCATACGATGTTGTTGACGTTTACAGTTAAATAAAAATTGGGAAATCTGAACATAGACTGAACAATTCTAAATTGACTGCCAGTTAATTGTTTGAACAGTACTGAATTTACCGCAGTAGTATAAGTCTTTATATATTATGCATTCATGCAATACAATATGCACGATGCATTAAATAAAGCATAAAGACAAGTTATTTACCTCATTAAGTTTAAGTTTTTCTCCAGCAATATCTGTGAAAATTGTTAACCATAGGCTATTCAAACCAGTAACAACTAGTTTCAAAAATGATAAAAAACATAGTTTTTTTTCAAAGTAGAAAGCGCTAATATGGGTTTGAATGCCATCAATATTGGTAAAAGTTTCCGTGAAAAGTCTTTAGAGAAACAATACCTGATTACTTCAAATATAAAACTACACTCTTTACCCTCAGGGATGTTAAATCCAAACCATCCGATCGTTTTTGTGCATTCTCTCCGTGCAAATATTGTCCCGCTTGTCATGTCATAACCTTGGCATTGTCATTACAGAACAATCAAGTTAGCTGTTAGCCAAAGGCCCGATGGCCATCAGAAATATTGTGATGAGGTATATTCAAGAGAGAGGCGAAAGATTCCAAAGGGACATTCAAACTCATAAGTAAAAAAAAAACTGACAATGCCATGGCTAAAAAAGAAAAAGACCAACAGGCAAACAATAGTACACAAAACACAACATAGAAAACTAAAGACTGAGCAACATGAACCCCACCAAAAGCTGGGGGTGTCAATCATATGTGGTTTCTTAAAATCTATAATCACAGTTTTGGCAATATTGCAGTAATATCAACACCAGACATGGGGTAATGCAAATTTGTGATTGTAATGCATGGTAATGCATTACATTTTTCCAAGTAATTGCATGTAATGTGTAATGCAGCAATTTTTGCATTACATGTAATTGTAATTTAATGCATTATTTTAGCAAAACGTTGTGTAATGTCATACATTACATTGGATTACATGGCATTACTTTTGTCACATACTACATGTATATATCTTTAACAGATTGTTGGAGGTTTAACTAAAGCAAAATTTAAGATTTCTTGATAAACTAAGAACAGCATCATTTGAATATTGATTTTCTATTTATTATTTATTTTTCACACATTACATAAATCACTAGAGGGAAATTGGAAATTAAGCCTTGCCCCAGGTTGAACTCGAGAAAAATTTGTATAAATACTAGAATGACCAAATTACAATTCTAAATGAATAGCACTACACTGTATGTCAGATTGAGTTCTTTTTTTTTATAATTTTATTTGATTTTATTTCATACATTTTCATATTTTTCCTGCATAAAAAGATTGATATTTGAAAAGCATTACTGTTTTCCATTGTTGTCAAAAGATCAATGAATACCTTGTCATGATTAAACAATAGATAATTGGACATTGTCATAAAACACTAATTAGTTTGTTTTATAATCAATCTTTTCATCATTTTGACACTTGGTCATAAATTAAGCTCTGTGTTTATTATATAATTAAGACAGAAATTCTCAGGAAATATTTTGATTGAAATTAAAAAAACAAATGTATATTTATAAAAGTAAAGTTAACATTAAGTTAAAATAAGTATTAAACTTCAACTCTGTAATTTCTTTTTAGAGAAAACACAGAGATGTTCACCTTGAAACATAGAATGTGCATGAAGGATAAAACCTTTGAAACCTTATGATGTTAAAATGTGTTTTGACATGTTTACTTATATTCAATACATGGAACAGTTACTGCATATGCTAGATACTTTTATGACTACATGTTGTTTTTTCAAAATGTTTAATTTTTCTTTTCACTTGATAATAAAATTTACAAATGTAATGTGTAATTCAAGGCATTACTTTGCAAAAAATGCATTACTTTGTTAACTGCATGTAATTGTAATTGTAATTTAATGCATGGTTTTCTCATAGTAATTGTAATATAATGCATTACATTGCAATGTAATTCGCCACATGCCTGATCAACACCTCGGACTTTTCTTTCATTTTTCATCGCTTTTTTTCCTACTATTCCCCATGCTTAATTAAAAGACCAACATCATCGTCTTATAAGGCAGAAGGTTTTTTTTTTACAAAACGTTGAAAACGTAAATACAAATACCTTGATTGAGTCATGACATTTCGTTCTTTGTGAAGAACCACAAGGATTCTCACAACAAATACACCAAAGGTGATACATTCAAAATGATGGACGTTTTGATCAACAACATATTTGTTGAGTTTGATGGATTGATATCTCAGCAGACATTTGGGAATTCAATGGGTACTAATTTTCCACTATCCTGCCGATTTATTTTTGTACTCATATGAAGCAGACTTCATACAAAACCTTCGGAAAGACAAAAAGGAAAAGCATCTTTCAAAGGTTTTTCAAATTTCAAATTGATGAGCTTGAGTATTTGATTTTTCTTACCCTTGGCTAACAACTATTATTTGTGCATTGTTTGCGCTGCTATTGTCCTCGGTTTTAAATTAGCCAGCAGGAATTTATGTTTATAGAGACGACACACAAAATCAAGCAAGGTCTCTAATTCCCTTTTTATGATAAAAAG